TTTCTCTCAAAATCAAATGTTTGTACATTTGTCATTGAATACTAAAAGGATTCCGTTGTAAAAAGGCATGCTTTTAAAAGATTGGATTTTCCTAAATTGATGTACCAATGCTTTCCTCTAAAATGAACTTGTACTGCCCATTGGGTTAGAGTGTTGCCCGATATGCCAAGGTTGCAGGTTCAATCCCTAGTCAGAGCATATAAGAATCAACCAATGAATGCATAAATAAGTGGAACAACAAATCAGTGTTTCTCTCTTGCTCTCTCTCCCTTCCTCTCTCTCTCTAAAAATCAATACATTAAAAAAATAAAATGAACTTGTACTTGTGGATCATCTGCTACAGAGCTTACAGAGCCTACACTGGTAATATTTTATTATATAACTAGAGGCCTGGTGCACAAAAATTTGTGCACTGGGGGGGGGTCCCTCAGCCTGGCCTGTGCCCTCTTGTAGTCTGGGACCCCTTGGGGGATGACCACCTGCTGGCTTAGGCCCGCTCCCCGGGGGATTGGGCCTAAGCTGGCAGTCAGACATCCCTCTTGCAGCCCGGGAGCCCTCGGGGGATGTCCACTTGCCAGCGGGGAGCAGGCCTAAGCTGCAGTCGGACATCCTTAGCACTGCTGAGGCAGGAGAGGCTCCCACCACCACCGCTGCACTGGCAGCCATCAGCCTAGCTTGTGGCTGAGCAGAGCTCCCCCTGTGGGAGCGCACTGACCACCAGGGGGCAGCTCCTGCATTGAGCGTCTGCTCCCTGGTGGTCAGTGTGTGTCATAGTGACCAGTCATTCCCAGTCGTTCTGCTGTTAGGGTCAGTTTGCATATTACCCTTTTACTATATGGGACAGAGGCCTGGTGCACGGGTGGGGGCCAGCTGGTTTGCCCCGAAGGGTGTCCGGATCAGGGTGAGGGTCCCGCTTGGGTGCCTGGCCAGCCTGGGTGAGGGGCTGATGGCTGTTTGTAGCTGGTCACATCCCCTTCAGGGTGAGGGTCCCCACTGGGGTGCCTGGCCAGCCTGGATGAGGGGCTCATGGCTGTTTTCAGGCTGGCCACATCCCCTTTAGGGTTGGGGTCCCCACTGGGGTGCCTGGCCAGTCTGGGTGAGGGGCTGAGGGCCGTTTTCAGGCTGGCGGGCGACTGAAGCTCCCAGCCTCTCCTTTTTTTCTTTTTTTTTTTATTCTGGATTTTGTTCTTTTTTTTTTATTCTGGGTTTTGTTTAGCTTCTATAATTGAAACTTTGTTGCCGTCACTGGAGCTGAGAGTCAGCTCCTACTGCTCCAGCTCTGTGGCCACGGCCTGCTGAAAGCAGGTATCTGGGGTTTGTTTAGCTTCTATAATTTAAACTTTGTTGCTTTCGGAGCTCAGAGCTGGGCCGCTGCAGGTGGGGAACCTTGGCTTCCTCCATCACTGGAGCAAGCAAGCCTCCTGCTCGCTTCAGCTGCGTGGCTGCCGGCCACCATCTTGGTTGGGTTAATTTGCATATCGTGCTGATTAGCCTATGGGAGGCGTAGCGAAGGTATGGTCAATTACCATGTTTGTCTATTATTAGATAGATAGGATATGAAAGTGTTGGTGAGCCTTGGAATTTTCAGTATTGTTTCTGTTTTTAGAAATCTAGAGATTCCAGTTGGGATCAAGTTGGCAGCCAGATCCTTATACTTTGTGTCCTGAGGAGCAGCTCTTACCAGTGGTGGTGACAGAGCCTGC